ACCCCAACCCATCAATATGGGCTAACAGCCCTGCCCTGTGTCAAACAGCACCATGTGAATGAGGATGAGCTCCCCCAAAACCTCTGCAAACAAAGGCTAATTCACAATGGAAAGATGGGCTGCGTGCGCCACGGAAGTATTATAGCACAGTGACAGCTCTCTGTAGCATTAATCAACAACTAATTACGTGGATTACAGTTTTGGACATTAGCTTGCTGTCGCACCTTTCTATTACCTGAGGGCTGTAGCTGAGCATTCCCCACCCTGATCAGAATGCATTTGTTATAACTAGCTGTGAACCCTAACATTTGCCTGGGTTTGGGGCAGAGAATGTGTGTCTTTTCGGTGCCTGTATGTTGCACTGTAAACCTACACAACTGTGTTAATTGTAAATAATTAGTCTTTTGCAGACCTGGAAAAATAAAGTACAAATATCAAATTCTCTTCTCAGTTACATCAGTTCATACTCAATAGGGGCTGTCTCTGTATATCACAGAGGAGAATTTGGTCCAAAATATCTGGATACCGGAGAGTGTTTTATTAGCAAGGCCATATTCTGCCACTCACCCCTCAATACAACAGCTTGATGACAAAGTAGCTTTGTATCAGGTAATGCAGAAACATGCTGCTGCACCCACAAAAAAACGTAGAAAGATTTACTATAGAGCAGCAATTCTTACTTTCCCTCATTTGAAATCTGGTTTTAGCTGTTGTATGCAACACACTGCATCTGGTCTTTGAAATTCCACCCTTCCCCCAAGCATCCTTGGTTAAGAGATCTATTTCCTATTAATTTCCAGTCTCACTTTTAGATTCATTCAAGTTCTTATTTATTCATCCATCCATCCATCTTCCCCTCCTCCCCCCACTTTCCAACCATCATGAAATTTACAATTAATTCTTTCAGGTGACCCTGCCAGAAGGGTACTGACAAACAGGAGAAAGTTCAAGAAGTGTGAAAACAAAACCCCTGACTTTAATAATCAGCAGGAATGCTCTGTGGAGTGGAAAAAGCAGCCAGATGTGAATAGAAATTGCTTTAGAACTGAGACGGTACCATACTCAGTAGAGTTTTTGCAATCCCCCAGACATCCACCTCAGCCTATCACAAGCCACTTTTCAAATATCATCTGAAAACACTCCTCTTTCAGAGCTGTTACAGTTTTAGAGCCTGATTCTGAAGGCTGCAGAGTGTCTCCTTGACTTCAATACGAGTTGAAGGTACCACACAGACTGCATCCAACATCTTGCAGGATAGGCACCTTAACATGAGCTCCTGTGGAGGACTCTCCTCCTACATCCATTTTTAATAATGCTAGATCACCATTTCCTCTTTGTCTACTTTGAAGTTTTTAATCATGTATTTATGAATCTTGTGTGTAATTTTATTTTTATTTCAGTTGTCTGTACGGTGCCCTGCACACACGTTGGCACTGAGTGCTTAATTAGTAATAAAATTATTATTTTAACTATATGCATAGCAGCCTGCCATTACAGAAGACACCTGAGAGAAGAGAGATCAAAACAGCTATCATAAAATTTACTCTTCTAGAAAGCCATGCTCTGAGGAGTGTCTACCTGTTCTGCATCGGTAATTAAAAACTAAAGAGGAGAGCAAATGATTGAATATTTTACTATCAGCTCAACAGGAGAGGAAAAAGTGTGTGGAGAATGTAATCATACACCATAGTTAGCTTTGCTATACAGCATCTAACACAACATTTGTGGGAGTTGCTAAACCTGCAATTCTTGAATATAGGGACTAAGGATTAGAAGCCACAATGACTGATAGGGAGCCCTGGGATTTTGCTCATGACCTCCTTTATACAGGGCCAGTATTCTTTGCTCACATCCCTCATTCCCCCACTTTAGATTGTCTTCCCCTTTCTCTGTCAATAGATGCTAAGTCACCACACGTGTCCTGTGACTGAACCAACCACCTCTTCTAAGACTGGCTCGCTCTCTGCTGACCACAAGGGGCTGCTCAAGGGTAAGGGAGCATCTACCATTCTCCATGACAGAAACTGTGAAAAGTTACCATGGTGGCCTTCCAGCTAAAGGTGCAGAAATCCTAAGAGTTAGACTCTGTCCTAGGTTTCTCTCGTAGCAGCACATTGTTCTACCCACTGAATATTGGACTGGCTGTCTACTCTGCTTCATTTTTATTATTACATTTCTATTTACTGTTATATGCAGAATTATCATATACCTCTTTACACCTGTAGAATTTATTCAGCATTGGGAGAGGCAAGGGGTTTGGTGGGGATGGCCCAGGAAGGGGGAATGGCAGCTTGCGCTCGGGTTTTATAAGGCTAATTAACTAACATGATCCGTTAACAATTTTTCTAAATGGGATCTCTGCTATTTTGAATTATGTTAAGCACCAGGAGTTTGAGAAAGAGGCTATCAAAATAAAAGGAACAAAATGCACAGGATGAACAGATACGTTAACTGAAGAGGCTTCAAGTGTCACGCTCTACCTTCATGATATAATATTTTACCATTGGGCTATGATGGGGGAGTTATTACACAATTCCTTGGTTCACAGTTCCCCCAGGTACTTATTTAACTGCACTGTAGCAGAGACACATGGGACCCTAATTCCACCTTCAGCTATGCATGCTTAACTCCCATGAATTGTAATAACAGTTGCACAAGTGGGTCTGGGAGCAGAATTTGTCACGATATAGAAAATGACTTACAGTTAAATACTTTTGTTCCAAATTTGTTCTTCAGGGAATACATTTGGGTGCGTTTTGTTGCAATACAAGTTCAAACTTTAACAAGATGTCAAATTATCCCTATTGTACAACTCAGTTAATATCTATAGTAGGACTTGTATGTTTATTCTGGAGTTAGCAATGGAAGTGCAACCAAATCCATAATAATATTTTCCATTTCTAGATCCCTTTCTTTCAAGGTTCTCCAAGCAGTTCAGGTACGTTACTTAAGACACAACAACCATGTAAGATAGGGAGTATTATTGTTACATGTAATAGATGCTGGCTCATTACTGGCTAAATAAATGTATGTAATGAGTCGGTAAATTTTTAACAGTTACCTCCTGATAGGTCAACAACACCAAGATCTGACGCAGTGTTAACCAGAGTACATTGGCAAGTAACTGCTTCCTGATGAATTCAGTGAAATCTGTTGTTCACCTTTTAATCCCTTTGCAGCCAGTCAGATAAATGGAAATCTATGCTTCTAGACTGACTTATCAATAGTTAACTATTTTCTTGTGGACCTATAACTTCATCTGTCCTATAAGAATAGGAGTTTAAAAAGGGAAAACTGTTACACATTTGGAATTAGTGGACTTAATTGCTAGATATTTCTAATGAAAATACTCTGAACATATGTAACAATAGAAAGGTTGGCTTCGTATTTTGGTGAACATAAAGATTTGGCATCAGTTAGCTTTAGGTCAATATTTTCCTCTTGGGACAATAAATCTTGATTTTTCTCAAGAGAAGTAATGAGCTGTTTGTTTTGCCTATTTTACAAATAGGGCAATTGAGGCACAGAGTTCAAGTGGTTTAACTAATCTTAAATTAAGTCAGTGGTAGAGTGGAGAATAGACACTGAGAATCCTCACTCCCAGCCAGTTGCTCTAGCCACTAGACAATACTCCCACCTCATCACAAATAATTGGTGATTTAGAATCCGTAAAGAAGAAATTTCCCCTTTTTGAAGCCTCTTCAGTACACAGTTTGATTGTTGTCAGTCTTCCTTAAAAATGTGATTTGATTTATTTTAATTTTTTTTGACTCACTGGGGTTCTAACGTTGTATAGTTAGGAAAGGACTTTTAAACCATATTGCTTTGCTGTTTGTTTTGTCCTCTGCACTCTTTAAACAAAGTAATCCTTGTGAATTACAAATCAAATGGTCCAGCCGAGCTTTGTGGTGCACTCAATAAAAGGCAATGATTAATATTTAAGGGAAAACAGGTTAAAGATTTTAAATACAAGAGTGAGTGTCTGGCTATGGTGCCTCTTCATGTTGAAGATGGAGAAAAGAAAACGGATAGGCTTTAGGGATTTCTCATTATGAAGCTGTTTGAGATGCAGGAGTCTTGCATGTAAGCCACCTACCTACATGGACCAAAATATACCCTTCCTCTCTATTCAGCACCCTAGCACACACTTACAGAACATCTACTCATTGATAAGATATGGCTCCTGAGATTGGGATTCTGTGCCATTGACATAGGAGTCCAGTGAACTACACAGGCCTTTGGATCCAGATTTTCAAAAGTGCTCTGCTCCCATTTAGGCACTAATTAAGTGGACATTTTCAAAAGATGGATGCACATTGGGCGCTGAACTCTTTTGAATATCTGGCCCCTATTGTGGGAGCTTTGAAAATCTGGCCCATGTGACCTAAAAACATCATCCCTCCCAAACTGATAACAAAACAACTGATCTTCAGCTTCAGTGATTCTTCCTTTGATCTAAGGACTGTCTTCATTATTCTGTTCTGTGAGACAGCACTATCTCCCACTCTTAGGCTGTTCTGCTGGTATTTACATGTTGCAGCAAAAGATATGAAGGGGAGTTTCTAAGAAAGATGAATGCTATTGAGAGCCAGACATGTAGTATAATACTGATTGCATATTTCATTCACAGGCCTCAAAATCATTTTGCAAACAGTTACTTACCCCCCTGTGCGGTGATAAGTATTCTTCCCAGGCTACATATGGGGAAACTGAGATCCGAGGGAGGATAAAGTAATTTTGCCAAGGTCTCACAAAGAGTCAGTGACAGAGTTGGGAATAAAACCAAGGTGTTCAGAAAGGACAATGAGGAGAACAGTATAAGAATCTAGATAGAAGAGCTGATTTCAAGTTCCTTGTTCTAACTACCAAATAACAGTGGCACTCTGATCCAGGGTATCCTTATTACCCATTGTCTCAGAGCGACAGTACTCTGTCCCTGATGACATAAGCATAATTAATTACCAAGTCAACTAGGAAAACAAAGGAAACCAAATACTTACATGAGTACAGAATCTCTCAGGGGGGTCCCCACAGGTGATTCCTGGTGGATCCACTCTCACTGTCACATAGTCCTTCATTCGCATGGCCTTGGGCTGGCAAGCATAAAACTCCCATGATGGGCCATCATCTGTGGTCACCCAGGATTTGCAAATGTCATAGTGTCCCATGGCCAGAGGGAGACAGTGCAACAGAAAAGCAACCAGGTGCAGCATGGCAACTGAGACCAAGCGCAGGGTCCCTGGGCAAAGGAAATGCCTAGAGTCCCGAGAAAGGCAGCTACTGGACTAGGGGTTACTGTCAGGATCAGCATGGAAACTTCTCATCTAAAAAATTATCTACCCTAAGGAGATCCAGATGACAACAATGGCCCAGCTCTGTATGCTGCATTCAGACAAGGAAAGTCTCTTAGTACAGAAGCCAAGTTTGCAAGTCACTTGATCTGGAGAATTATGGACAGCCCTTCCAGAACTGCTGATCAGCGGTCAAAAGTCTTCCTTAACTTAATGGGTTTTTTTTGTTTTGTTTGTTTTGCATAAAAGATCTTCTACATCAGTGTGAAAATATCTAGAGGTGACTCTACTCAATCAATAGAGCTCTCAAGTTCTGATTCGGTGATGAAATTTGATAGGAGAAAAATTGGAGAGGCTATGTGATGAGGCTAGATCAAGTTTTCTTTAACCTTTTCATCTGCTACCAATGTATAGCTTTTTTTAAAGTGCCTTAAACTGTGGTGTGCCTTAAATAATTATTTTTTTTTTAAAAAAAACTTTATTTAAAAAATATTTAAGTGACATTATTATCTATGTTACCTTGAAATGGGAGACTCTTTGGACCTAAACTTTACTTCTTTTAAAAGGCAACCTTTCTGACAACATAATTTGGGTGGTAAATTTTGCAAGCCATCTAAACAGATTGTCCTATGGTCACTTTATTGAAAATATGACCATTGACTTGTTTGTTTGTTTTTTATTTTGCTTCTTGCACTGGTGACGAGGCATGCAAATAGGACAATTTCTGGCTGATAATGCCAAGTTTCCAAAGCTTCAGCTACAAACCATCCAACTACCTGAGGTCTCGTTTCTTGTTCATTATAAGGGGAAAAGGAGAGCTCATTAGCAAGCACCACCTGCAACAAATTAAAAGACAGATTAGCTGGAAGAAAGGGGGAGAAGGTGAAATAAGGTTTGCAAAAACACAACTATGAAATATACAAAAATTAGGCTGAGCTTTCTAGGAGTCATGAAATTTAAAAAAGCTTGTAAGAGATATACAACTTTAATAAAAAAAAATCCATATTAAAATACTTATGGGTGTTCTATTGTGTAGAAGATTTGTAGCAGTAGCTACTTCATTTAAGGGTATCTGATTTTTAACAGTATCTGAAAAACAATAGCACTAATGGATCTCTAAATTATATCAAGAAGAAATGATAGGTCATTAGAAGATTGAGAATGAACCATGAATAGGTAGACATAGACAAGAGGGACAGACAGACAAATTGATAGTCTTACAAAATAAGCAAATAAATAAGGTAGCTAGGCAGACAGATACACAGTCCAGTATCCACAGACAGGATTTATTTGCACAATAACATTTAATGAAAACAATTTAAAGTACTAATAACATTTAAGGTTTTCCTAATACACAAAGATCAATGACCTCTCCCAGTATTCATTTCAGCTTAAACAAAAGAATGTGTAATCTTTTCCTCTCTTGCCACTAGAGTATAAAAATCGCAAGTAATCACAAAACAAAATAACAAAAAAAGGCAAACTTCTCTCAGCATTAATCCCAAGATAGTTCTATAATGAGAGGTGTGAACTGTGTTTTCAGAACAAAAACTTGAGCCACGACTAATTCTCTTTCCACCTGAATCTACAACTCCCCTTCCCTCTCCAGAATTTAAAGATGACTTTGCCTGCATAGTGTGTTCAGTATTTGCTTTATCGTGAACCTTGGTTACTATGTGAAACTCTAGGTTACAGATCCATTGATCCATGTTAGGGGGATTCATACATCTATGTTAACATCTCCCTCCCTGCCCCCTTTCTTAGACTGAAGGATTTCTGATTGAGATGAATGAATGCAGAAAAGAAAACCCATCTTTCATGCTTCGTCTCTAGCTGTTCAAAGGAGAGCCCATTATAGCTTCATTGGCCCTGAATAAACTCCCAAAAAAAGAATAGTGTGCTATTTTTACATTGAGTAAATTTAGTAAAAATAATAAAATGGTGTGACACAGAAGTGTCTATAAGCCCTGCTGACATCAGAGCTGTCTTCTTGATTATAAAGTCTGTGCCTAATTATTACATCAAATTGGTCACCGCCAACTGTTAAACAACATCACAGAGAAGTAGAGATTTCAGTAGAACACACAAACCAAGTAAGGTAATTTTCTGTCAATGGGCACTTCATGCTGTTATCTTTAAGAAATTATTTTCATAACCTTAAAAATAATACATTTTGCACTTGAACGGTTGGCAGAGGGAGAAGCTTAAGAAGGAAAGAATCTATAATATCTATTAGTTGTTTTGTTGTTATATTTGCTAAATATCACATATTCCCAAGGAAATAAAAATCTGCCTGAGAATTTATTTACAATTAGTCAAACAAGCACATTATCTCCTTGTTATAGTTGTTGTGTCAACGTTTTAACATTACAGATGTTTTGCAGAAATAATTCACAATGTTGCTCTGAAATAATATGACATAAAGCTAATATGGAAAAAAAACCTTTTCAAACTACAGGTTTCACCCTGATCGGTTTTGTTTTGTCCTTGGAAAATAAATCTTCACCTGATATTATTAAGAAACTGTAGTTCATGGGAACAAATAGAATCAGCGCTCTTTATTTTCCTTTAAGAGTACTCAGCAATCACAAGGGACTGATAGCCAAAGTATTAAAAACACAAAATTAGATTTTATCTGGGTATCTCGACTTAGCTCTTTCCTTTTTTTATTGGATCAACCCTTTATTGAAATAACGAGACAACACTTTGAGTCACAAAACACTGCTCTGGAATTAAGTACAGAAAGTAAACTTGATGGACTTCTCAATGTTCTTTCCAGAAGTGTCACCTGGAACTATAAAAATCAAAAAGACTGACACACACCGTGTGCAAGGAGATTTTTTTAATCCTCTCTCTCTCTCTTTCAGGATAATAATACCCCCTTTTAATTCATTCTAAAAAGCAACGTTAGAAAATATACCCCCAGCATGTAGGCAGGCACATGATGTTGCAAAGCTCAGAGGACAACCATATTCCCAACAGAAAGATTGCAAATCTCACTCACATTTAGCTGCTATCCTTAATGCATTTGTGGTTCCACATAAATTGATGCTGCTTTCCCCCCCCCCCTTTCTTACCCCTTGTAAGGTTTCTTTTACATAAGGACTTTGAGATCATTCAAGGACTAATGTTAGAAAGCAGGCAAAATAGGAAATTAGATGTCAATGTAATATGATGATCTCTAGCTTTGCATCTCTTATTCTGAAACTCTAAAAAAAAGTTTAAGTGGAGAGAACGCCACTTCCTTGGCACAAGAAGGATGAAAGCTTGAGAAATAATCAAGAGTGTACTTTGCAAGGATTGTACAACTAACTTTAGAGAAAGAAGGTGGAGGAAAATAGCTCCAAACAATTTGTTTGGAAATTAGAGCTTGTTACCGGGGGACTTTGCTGTTAGTCTCTACCTCACATCTCTGTCAGATAGGGAAAACTGCAGGCACTGAAAATTCCAAGGTACTGGTTAATTTCATAAAAGTTTTCCTGCAGAAAGTTAGGTGCAATCAATAATAATCTGAGGCTTTTAAAAATATTTGTCCAGATAATATTGCACTTGGGATTTATGTGTCCTTATAGTTTTGCAAAGCCTCCCCTAATCACAAAAATCTATGCATCATCTCTTTACAATAAGCAGAGCAGAGTAAACCATTTAACAGCTGCCTAAACATATGCAGGCAAACAAATTATTGCATAGGTGCACTTTATTCATAAAAGCCAGGAAGAGAACTGCAGGGGGAAATCTAAGAGAGGTTTTGTTTGTTTCCTGCTACTTTGTGTATTTTCCAAACAAACCAGAGCTCTATTATATATATATATATATTAAATGTGAGCATGCAAAGCAGCCAGTCAAGGTAGAGTTAAGGAGGGGAGGGGATGGGCAAGGCGGACAGAGAAGTTTGATAGAAAAAGACTGAAGTGAGCCACGCTGTAACTTCACACCTTTAAAAACGGCTGGACTGTTAATCTCTTGCCCAAACACCCGGGGAAAGCCGCCGTGGGAGCGATGGGTTGGTAACAAATCATCCTCTCCAAACAATCCTTTCCATCCCTATCACAATTAAAACAACATTAAAGAAACGGGCAGGGCACCTCCGCCAGTGGCCCCCGCTTGCTAACTAACTTTTGCCTCGGCTCATGCCCGGGGGAGGTGGAGGCTTTGGCCAGCCTCAGAGGCCGGCTTCCCACCCGCCTGCCGGCTTTGCACAAACCCACGGAGCGGAGGGCGGCAGCTCCCTGCTCAGCGATATCGGGGGCCCCTCCCCACCTCCGAATCCCCCCCCCACGCCCCGGGATTCCTTACCGGCGCTCGGCGCTCCTGGAGCCGGTGCAGCGAGGGAGGTTCCGCCGGAGCTCCGTGCCAGGCGGCAGATGCACACGCGTCCTCTCCTCCTGGCTGGGTGGGGAAGGCTGCTCCCCACCCTCGGCTAGGGCGGTGAGGACCAACCTGCCCGGGCAGCGTTCTAGGGCTTGGCAGAGCGGGCGGCTGGGGGTGGGAGCTGCGGGGGGGGGGGGTGGGGGATGGGGGGGGGGGTAGAAATTTCAACCCCCTGCCCCCCGTCTCCAGGGGGGAGCCCGGAGCAGGATAAAAGAAGTTTAACTTTTTCTGACCGCAAACACCCCCGACCGTTCCCCGCCCCCCACGCCCCCAAAAACAGAACTACAAATGGCAATGCTCATCCGCGCGCCTGGCGGGGTCCCCCTCTTCTCCAGCAGGACCAGCCCATTCCCCGCCTGGAGCTCAAGGGCAGATGGCCGGGAGCTTTATGAAATCTCCCTCCTCCCCCCACCCTCGCTCCTCTCTCGCAAGTTAATACTGAGGCTCAAATCCTTTTGCCATCACTTTCAATCACAGTCGTTGCTTTTATCTCAGTGCCTGATCCAGGCTGCGTAACTTCCTCTGTGGAGCTTTACCACACCATCCCACCAGCGGGCAATGTGCTTCTTAAAGGTGCAGGGAAGGAACTGCAGGGGCGGGGGGGAGCGGAGCCAAGGAAGAAA